GCTCCAGGGTTCCACGGTGGTGGCGGCAGGGTCTGAATTGGGGCGGAGTAGGGGCTGAGGTCACGGCGGAGAGAAAGGGAGGTTTAGGGTTCCGTTTGAAAAACTAGGGAAGAAGGAGAAGATCGCGATTTTCAGAAAACTTATTCGACTTTGCGCGACGAATACATAAATCCGTCGCGCAAAATTCATTAAAATAACTTTTGCGCGACGCAAAAATGCACTTTTGTCGCGCAAGATTATAAAAATATGACCTTTGCGCGACTTAAAAACATGATTTCGTCGCGCAAAGTTCTGAAAATATAAACTTTGCACGACGAAAAATCTAGTGTCGTCGCGCATATTTGTCCAGCTGCCCAAAATTTTGGGATTTGATTTTAGGTGGGGAAGATAAATTCAATGATATTGCGCGACAAATATACGGTAGTTTGTCGCGCATTCTAGCTTTTGCCAAACAAAATTTCGCCAAATGTTGGATAGAAAAGGGCTGCAATTGTTAATTTTGCGCGACGAAGGGACTTCTGTTCGTCGCGCAATCTGGCTTTTGCCAAAAAAAATTTCACTAAGTGTTGGAGCGGAGAAGAGCAGCAAATTTTTGTAATGATTTTACGCGACGAAGACTCATGTTCGTCGCGCAATCTGGCTTTTGCCAAACAAATTTCACTAAGTGTTGGAGCGGAGAAGAGCAGCGAATTTTTTTAATGATTTTGCATGACGAAGGGACTTATGTTCGTCGCGCAATCTGGCTTTTGCCAAACAAATTTCACTAAGTGTTGGAGCGGAGAAGAGCAGCGAATTTTTTTAATGATTTTGCGCGACGAAGGGACTTATGTTCGTCGTGCAATCTGGCTTTTGCCAAACAAAATTTCACTAAGTGTTGGAGCGGAGAAGGGGAGCGAATTTTGTTCAGGGTTTTGCGCGACGAAAGCACTTCAGTTCGTCGCTGAGCTTTTGCGCGATGAGTAAGAGGATGTTTCGTCGCGCAAAACCATACCCTTGTACCCTAAACCCTAAAACCTGTACCCTAAGCCCTAAACCCGAACTCCTGAACTAGTTTCAATGATCCAACCGGCAATCTTCTTTTTTCATAGTTCAAGATCGTATACGTCAAAAATCATAATGAATGAACATTCAGAGATTGAGTAACGGGACAAAACTTTTCGACGGTTCTAAACAAATTTTCCCGATTCAACGGTGATTTTAACTCCGATCTTGAAATTTTTTTACAGCTGCGGTTCTTGACCCTATATGAATACAGAGATGTAATTCGATCTTCAATTTCAGATATTTACAGTACAGGACATCACATAATCTTATATTAGACTGAATGAATGTATAAAGAAATTATTCATTTTTTTTTAATATTGTGTTTTTATGGAATACGCATTCTAGGAA